AGAACAATCATAACCTTACTAGAAATGTGTATACTGGGAATAGACTACTGTAGTACATAGTAGAAACTATGTCGTGTGCGCCAATTCACGGTGTACAAAAGATCAACCCTCGTAAATCATCCTTAACCTTGACGACATTTAGTAGACTGTCTAGAAATCAGTGATCTGTCGCCTAAGGTAGAAATGGTTTAACCTGATGGATGATTTGTCTAGAACTCAGTAATCTCTTACTGACCCTACATTATGCTCATCCAGCCAATGGGACACGACTATGACTAGCACGTCCGATAATTGCATCAGTCGATTTTCGGAAGTCAAGTAAAATGTTGCTGACAGTAAGGGAATACTGTAAAGTAGAAGTGACAAGTAGTAGTGGAATTGGATTTCATATCTTAACTAGTAATTCCCAAGACTCTACAATGTGCATTTTGGTAGTTGCAAATGAACTAGTAGTCACAAAGTAGCGAGCGAATCAAGTATTGTATTTTTTTGCTTCAAATTAGGCGTGTAGTAATGTATAAACCATTTGTAATAGTATGCCAACACTATAGATGCCCCCGAAGTGATACATTCGCGTGTGCATATGCGTAATAACCTTATCTTAGATCCAAAGTTACACATGGCATACAAAAGCAAATGAATGGAAAAGATAGCTTTATACTGACAAGAAACAAAAGGTCGGTGTCATACAGTACAAATATAAGAGTTCTGCCGCCTACAAGTATACGCAATCTTACACTTGCCTTATATGCAGCAGAATAACGATTAAATGAGTCGAATAGATAAAACTCGTCCCCAAACATACTTACTGCTGCTGTTTATCTCCGTGGATACAAATACCTAAAATATATTCCGTTTTTAGCTTTTAATACCATCGTTACACGATATATATACCCGTGATATTGTATACGAGAATTATATTCAAATGGAGTCAACAAAGTGGTCGTTTGTGATAATTGTGCACTTCAGTGATCTATTTTCATGTTTGAATTAACTTTGGTTTTAACGACAGTGTCTACGTCAGTTAATTTATATTTTACTTCTATTATACTTAACCAATTTCTACCTTTCTGGCACAACAATCAATGTATACGTCAAATTACTCTAATGTTTACACATGCATACTTGCTTGTACAACTTTAAAATAAAATGTTAACACTTAATTGGGGGATTTTATATCACTTCACTTTCTTAAAATAATCCTTGAAACAAACCCTTCTTGCATGTAAACTAGTATGTCATTTGTGACTTTCAGCTACTTAGTAATCGTTTAAAGATCCCCAGATTCAAGTTAACATTCTATATGAGTCATATCAACATTAACAATTTTATTGTATTTTGTTTATCACAATCCTAAATCCACATACTTAAAACGATGTACTTTGCCCTTAACATGGTCATTTTTCAGATTATTAATTTGGATATAATGAATTGTAGAACCTGAAGAGAATATATCGAAAAAGAGAATATTCTTCGTTAAAATTCTTAGTGTTATAACGCTCAGTATTACTTCGTCTAATGTTATAACGCTTAAAGGATTATCTACACTAGATCCCTCCCACTCTCTATTCTAAAGGACTTCAATACAACTCAGATTAAGAACATGTAATTAGCCTGACCACAACGTGAATATATTTCCACACCAAAAACCAACACAATCCACAACAATGAACAATCAATAATAAGTGCTAGTGCCTCAATAATAAGGATAAGGGAATATATAACTTATCTGACACCTGTCAGAATGTGTAAATATCTGGCTAAGCAGACAACCAATCATGATCATTCTCACCGATACATCACTTAGTAATCAATTACTGTTATTATGGTCCGTGAGGTGAAATCTTCAGGTTGTGAATCATCCTCTTTATTTTTACTGACCACTGCAGAATTAATGAAATAATCCATAGAAATACGATACAAATACAATATATGCGGAAGACACATCATTAAAATGATTTAGTACTGATTGTTTCTCATCACTTTCCGTTTATATTCTTTAATATATCTAATTATTTACACACTTCTCATTATTTTTTGAGATAATGAATCAACTGATGTTAGACCACCGTTGGAAACCTGAAGGCACTGGACGGCCGTTCCGTCCTAGTATGGGACTCCTCAGCAGTGCGCATCCACGATCCTGCTCGCGGGGTTCGAATATAGGGCCTTCAGTATCGCGCGCGAACGCCTAACCTACTGGACCACTGAGTCGGCCAGCATCCAATGGTGTTTGTGTCTAACATCAGACAATCCACGAAATTGCGCTACCATCTTCCATTGTACTGAAGTAGATACTTGTCTCTACCCGACACGGATTAGCTCCAATGCTCACGGCTTCTTACTAGAACTCCGAGAATTCCTTCACGAAGCTAGTCACTAGTGAGCACATGTTAATTATCAGTATTGAGGTTGTGGAGATTATTAAGTTTTTGATTGAGATCAAGTTTCCAACGGTGGTCTAACATCAGTCGATTCATGATCTCAATCAAAAACTCAATAATCTCCACAACCCCAATACTTCTCATGATGTTATTTTAATAATATTAAGTGATTATTATTGAAAAATCTATTCATCATTAAAGTTTGACCTACGTGATATTGTAGTGAACAAGAACACCAATGGTGACAATCAAATGTATTTCATAACAACAAATTACAGAACTAGTTAGTAAAATCTAACAACCATATATTAAATGCTCGATTTGCACAATTTTCGTCTTACTTACTTACGCCTGTTACTCCTAATGGAGCATAGGCCGGCGACCAGCATTCTCTAACCCATGTGAGAGCTTGTCTTGTAACGCAGTTCGGTGCTTTCCTCAATGTGTGACCTATCCACTTCCAGAGCTTCTTCCTGATTTCTTCCACTCGGATCTGATTTGTTCTCTCCCACAGTAGGTTGTTGCTAATAGTGTCCGGCCAGCGGATCTGAAGTATTTTACGTAGACCACTGTTAATAAACACCTGTATCTTCTGGATGATGGATTTCGTAGTTTTCCAGGTTTCGGCTGCACACAGTAGAACTGTCTTAACATTTGTATTGAAAATTCTGACCTTCGTGTTGCTTGCCAATTCTTTTGAGTTTCAGATGTTGTTCAGTTGTAAATATGCTGCTCTTGCTTTGACGATCCGTGCCTTCTCATCTGCATCAGATCCACCGTGTTCATCGATGATACTGCCCGAATATGTAAAGGTTTTTACATCTTCCAAATCTTCTCCGTCAATTGTGATTGGATTGTTGCATGCTGTGTTGTATCGAAGAATCTTGCTTTTCCCTTTGTGTATATTGAGACCTATTGCTGCTGAGGCTGCTGCTACACTGGTTGTCTTCTCCTGCATTTGTTGTTGCGTTTGTGATAGAAGAGCCAGATCATCCAACTGCATTCTAGATGTCCACTGTATCCAGTGCTTCCCTTCAGATGTTGACGTCTTCATCATCCAGTCGATTACCAGGAGAAAGAGAAAGGGTGAGAGTAAGCAACCTTGCCTGACACCGGTCTTTACTTCGAACGACTTTGTCAACTGTCCTCCATGCACGATTTTGCAGTTTAATCCATCATAGGAATTCTGTATGATATTGACTATCTTCTGAGGCACGCCGTAGTGTCGAAGAAGCTTTTATAGGGTTGTTCTGTCCACGCTATCAAATGCTTTTTCGTAGTCAATAAAGTTGAGTCAGAGTGATGAATTCCATTCAATTGGTTGTTCCACAATGATCAATTGTTTCAAATGACTCAGACTTCCTTTGTTCTTGCATTTTCATACAATATGCATTCTGTTTTCATTCTTTATTGTTCGATCTTCTCGTCTCTCTGCTGCCATATATTCTGTTCACGACTAACATCATATACTACTTATGTCTACATAAATAGCGCACACACCACAATATTATTGAACGATTAACTAGAAATTTTATTATTCTTATCAATCACTTCTACCTTTACATTTATCTTCTTACTATTCATTTATAGTTTTTACTTACTATTTCCTTTTTATAGTTCAGGTAAATTTAACAAACAACTTTTCTACAGACTGGTTATTATTATTATTATTTTAACACATGGGTATTGGTACAAGGAGGCACCAAATACATATGCACCACACAGATCTCATTGGATATGTGTATGCTTGGGTGCCCAGACCGAAGCAGGTGGTTTTCTTAAGGGGCTACACCCCGATTCTTCGACCTGAACGTCTGATCCACAAGGCAGTGGAGCATCGTATTGTATATACATCAGAGTGTGGTGTGTGCTACTTATGTAGACATAAGTAGTATATGACGTGAGTCGTGAACAGAATGTCTGGCAGCAGAGAGATGAGAAGATCGAACAATAAAGAATGAAAAAAGAATGCAATTTGTATGAAAATGCAAGAACAAAGGAATTCTGACTCATTTGAGACAATGGATGAACAATTTACAAATTAACGATTTAATATATGGTTGTTGGATTTTACTAACTAGTTCTGTAATTTGTTGTCAAGTACATTCGGTTATCCTCACTGGTGTTCTGTTCACTACAAGAGTACTTGCCCTAATATAACAATATACAAAGCAACAAACACCTTACATATTATCAAGTTAATAGTCATTTAAATATAAGACCAAATAGAAACACATCATTTAATGTGAACGAGGAGGTTGTAGAGTTAGTTCAGTAACCCCCCCCCCAAAAAAAAAGAAAAAAATGCCAATGAAAATATATTAAGTAAAACCAATCCAATATAATAAATCAATGATCACGTATGATCTCTAATGTGAATTTAATGAAACATATTATTTTAGATGAAATAATAAGAAGAACAGTGATATAACAATAATACAATAATTGCCAATAAATTTATATGGTTGAAGTAGACAACAAGAACTTTCTTCTTATGCTCCATTTACACATAAGTAACATGAAGCATGTTTAATGAAACAGAAAGGAAATAATTTAATTCTTCAATTAAAAAAAAAATGATCATTTTAATTTTTCTTTTTTAAAGTTAAATTTGATTTAAAATATACGATCAGGAAATAGAGCCGGTGCAATTAATGTCCATATATAAATACCTAAACATATCCAACTGCTTATAATACGTACCCAAAAACCAGCTGAATTACTGACTAATGTTTTTAAATCATTTTGTGGTTTTAACCAATTAGTAAGCATAACCATAACATATAATGTAGCTAGTAACATCATAAAATGATACATAAAATAATTATAAGCTACACCATTTTTTTCATTATCCCATACTTTTTGACCATTACGTTCATTGTCTTCATCAGTACTAGAAAATTGTTCTGCTAAGGTTGTATCTTCTGTACCCTACAGAAGAAAGGTAAAAGTATAAACAAAAACAAATTTAATTTCTTAAATCAACTGGAAGCAAACAAATGTCATGTTAGATATTTAGAACAAATAAAATAGAAGACTAGGATTTGTTTAGTTTTCTTCGTTAACACTTACAATTTATCAAGGCTTTTATGGAAACATTTTATTATTTATTTTAACACATATATATTGGTACAAGGAGGTACCAAATATATATGCGCCACACAAATCTCATTGGATTTGTGTGAGGGCTGTGATACTGCCCTGGGTGCCCAGACCGAAGCAGGTGGTTTTCTTAGGGGGCCACACCCCGAACCTTCGACCTAAAGGTCTAATCTACAAGGGGGTGGGGAAACCTGAGGAGATGCAGTCCTATGGTAGCCGGTGACGAACGATTGGTTCATACGCCATTTGTTCCCCCAGGATACTGGAGCCCATGTGCACCATTGGTTTGAGATCCGGTTAAAGCGCCGGACATTCGCTTTTCGTTCTCTCAATTTCGTAAAGAACACTCCCGCCACGAGAAGGCAGTGAGTAGGACTTCCCTGGTAGAGGCTATATACGTGTGGCCATGTGAGAGCATTTCGAGAGGGGCATTAATTTGATACACGGAACGAGCTTGTTTTTTATCCTTTGAACTAATATAGTAGTACTCTGTAGAGAGCAATAACTCAATTGAAGGATATCATATCTTTCTGATCCATTTAGTTTATGATAGATTAGTGACAGACAGTACAGGCCGAGACGCTTCTGGGATAACATGTTTAACATTCGAAGAATAAAGCAGACTTTCAAAAACATAGATGATTTCGAAAGAATTTAGCAGGATTTTAACACAGATGATACAGAAGTGACATAATAACTATACAAGACAAAATATTTTATTGGAATTCAAGATTACTCGAGAACATTTGGTGCTTAGTAGATAACTAAAGATGTCAATGTCAGCGATTTTACCAAGATCAAGCAAAATTAAATTATGGGAAAACAAACAACATTAGATTAGATCTTACTGAATTAGACATAACTCATTTTGACCAGAATCAATTATAGGTGATAATTCATATTCACTAGATTCGTGAACTCATATGTTACGAAAAGGACTTACGTCGTTACGTATAGTTAAGTGATGATAAGGATGTGTTTCATTAATCAATTATGGCTTTGAACCACCATTAATATGACCACTAGCGATAATACGTTGCCGCCAAACAGAAGTAAGCGTTGTGATGTTTGAAAATGTAACACCTAGTAGTTCAATGACATGTTTTAATTTGCTATCCTAAGCCTACTTGAAACTATCAGTACAGTCAAATCACTCCAAGTCCAAAAAGTTAATCGAACCCAATAACTTTATATAAGGATAAAGAATAAGAAACAAATGTAACTGAAGGAATTTTAACTAAATTTATCATGAGCAAGATTACTAAGAACCCGGAGTTCATAAGTGGTAATAAGGAATGTAAAATAATGATTAAACGTTATATAAGTGTAGACTAATAATGCAATAGATAATCAAGGTTAGCTATGGACAAAAATGACGATTTCCAACGATAAACTATTATTTGAAAATAATGAATTAAATAACATGCAAACCAAATCAAAAACACTCATCCACTAAATTCACCATCAATGTCTACATTTACTGGGATAACTCATTTTCATATTATTTGCTTTCGTAGATTACTTATCTAATTTTATTTGACAAAAAAAATCTATTCATCTACATAAATAGATAAATTTATTAATCAAAGATAACCTAAATAGTAACACAATCAATTGCACAACTGAAGCCCAACTTATTACGGTTTTAAAGAAATAAAAAATTGCTTATTAACATTTCAACAATAAACGATAACAATGCAGACTAGCTTCAAGATGTAACTTCAAAAGTTTTAGTGAGAGGCCAAAACCAGCGCAGTTTAACTGGGTCGGATGTGAGGCAGTTACCTGCCAACGACGACGAAAGATGACAGCGCAATATAGTAGATTAGTTGAAGTTCGACATTAACATCGTTGGATATATATATATATATATATATATATATATATATATATATATATATATATATATATATATACGCCTACCAATTAAGGGACGAGTATACTGTGAAGCAGTTCGGTTCGCTGTATACGGTATAACACTTGACTTTTATCCAAACATGTATAGGAGCGGTTTATTGTCAACTACAAGAGTAGATGGACGGCCATAAATTATTTTATGAAATCCCTTCACCGAAAGAACGACAGCTAATCCTTCCTTTTCTATTTGACTACATTTTCGTTTGATTCACTAAGAACTCTGGATGTTATAGATATTTCTTTATCATCAGAAAAAAGGTGATTAATAACAACTTTGATTCCATGGTTAAAAGCATCAGCAGCTGCTATTTTTTTTCTAATTTAGGTTAAACTGTATCAACAGTAGTTTTGAGGATAATATTCCTTTATTTCGCCAGATGTTGATATTTAGATCCAGTTCCATGTTGCGTTCACTACCAAGGGTTGGTTCAACGGGTATCGTAACACGTGCATTGAAGATATAAATAGACTATAATATTCAAACATTTCCAGAAACGAAGTGTGCTAGAATCTGTTGGTCTGAACACGTGTTTGATGGTATGGTCGACGACCATCTTTACTAAATATATACCTAAGGTACATAACGAACTAAAGCAAAAATTCGCGTCTTTTTTCTTTGCAATTAAAAACAAACTTGTGATATTTTGGTATGCTATATATCCGATCGACCCATTAGTTCCTCAGTGATTAAAGCAACAATTACAATATAATCCAGGTAAACTGCCATACTTTGCAGATTAAACAAGATAATATTCATTATTTGCTGGGAAATTTCTAGCGCTGGCTTCACACCGAATGGTAACCGGCTATACTGATAAAGTCCACTATGAGTATTAACGGCTAGAGACTTCTCTGATTTTGTATGAAATTCGAGTAGCAAACAGATTTCAGATAGTAAGTAAATCTTTTGGTAGAGGTAGTGGATATGAGTGGTACTGTAAATCATAAGTAAAACCAGTTGAAAAATCTACATAAGGACGAATAGTTCTATTTGTTTTCTGAAATACGACAACTGGAACTACCCATGCTGAATAACGAACAGTTTGCATAACACCAAGTTACGCTAGTGGGCCTGATTCGCTATCAACTTTATCTGTGGCAAGATACGGAGTTCGATGTTATGGATGAAAAGTGGATTTCACATCTTGTCATAGGTATATCTTCAGCTTCCCAGTTGTGCACCATCCCATCCAATTCTGAAACAATTTTACATGTTTTCCGATGTGAACAAAGAAGTCATAAAGAACAACGGAGACTGATTTCCGAGACGTTATTTCACTCATTCTTTTCCAAAGCTATTGTAATTTAAACGTGACCTTTTGGACTCTATTTTCCTACCCTAATGCCCAGTTTTGGACATAATTGTATTTTCTTAATTGTTTGTTCGTTGTGGTCATGGTGTAGTGAACAATAACACGAGTGGGGACAATCGAGTGCGTTTGAACGCAATTATAGAACGCCTTACAAATTCTGAGAACCATACCGTGAATAGTTAATTTGCAAAATATCAATGAATTGTCTCAAACTTGACCGTTTCTTTCGCAAATATCAGTCCATCGTCTCAGATTTCATTGTTCATGCATTTTCATACCAATTGCCCCCCGTTTCCCTTCTTTCCTTCTCGATCTTCCACTGAAATATATTCTATTCCTGACTATCCTTATATACTACTTATGACGATATAAGTAGCTTACACCACAATGGTAGCCATCCATCTAGTCATGTATCTGTTTACATTAATCGGAATTGGGAATCGGGATCGAAAATGAATCGAGTAGTGTGCCAATTGACTCGTCCTTTCTCTATCTCTTGGTTGTCAACCAATCAGGCGATAGAATAGTTTTCGTCTCTCTACCCAAGGCAGTTAATCTCATTTCGAACACGCATACTAACCTCAAGGTTAAACAAGTTAGCCTATCGTTCAAGGATTTAGTCAAGATTAATAGGAGCTACCTTCTGTAAATCATTGGACAGACAGATCGAGAGCGCAGCGTTTTCCAACGCATCTTACTGTCATAACTGTTTTAGTTACGTAAACGATTTTACCTGCCTATTCAGTCAACGGCAGTCAAATCGAAGTTGCATCTGTTCATTAGGTAATCGTTTTCCGTGAAATAATTACTGTGAAGTTGAACAGAGCATTTTAATTATCCCGATAGGCTTTAATATAACTCCGGATGGATCGCTGGCTGTCTGGTTGGTAATACTTGTGGGCAACCCAATAAATCCCATGTTTTCTTAGAGATCAGAGCGATATCTGACGCTTTGTAAAACTGTAATTGAATATAAGCACTGTTTGTTAATAATTTCGCATATCTTTTGTCAGCTATACTTATTGCAAATGTAGCAAATACACTTTTTATGAATCTGATACAAGGGCTTCATTGGTCGTGATCACGAACTCTTTCGATTGGTATTGGCTATACTTCGTGCCATTCTGCTTCGGTTTGGGCACCCAGGCAGTATCACAGCCCTCACACAAATCAATTGAGATTCGTGTGGCGCATATGTATTTGGTGCCTCCTTGTACCAATACCTATGTGTTAAAATAATAACTTTGTCTTCAGACCGTCTTAACATTAGAGATAGTATGGTTGAATGGAAACGCACTATTAGTTTTCATAATGATTGTATCTTGTTCTATGTTTATTGATCGTTGACATTCTGTAGTAACAGTTTGGAGCGTCATCTCATTATTATGTTTCATCCGGGACAAAAATCGTATGACGAAATCGGCATATGTGGGAGAATTTAATCCAGAAATTTAGCCTGAATACTAGCTAGCACACTTAACTTGAGATGCTCTGTTTGCGAATTCAGCCTTCTGACATACGTAAGGTAATTTTCGTTAGCTTTTTTTGTCAACGGCAGACAACTATAACTAATACGAGATAGCGATACTTGTTTATAAAACATTTCATCAATAATGTTAAGTTTCATTAAAATACAATTATCAGAGGTGTTTAGGCAGAATACGATTTGAGTACTTCTAATGCTTATTCAGACCAAACATTTTAACAGTAACTGGATCACCTTTGAGTTATCTGAAGCAGTACATTTTACCCGGAAAAGGTCTTTCATTTTGCCAAACCAGGTTTTAAAAGTATGTCTGCTATCTACATCAAAAATAAATCGCAGAATTTAATTGAGAAGTGGTTCTATAACTTTCTGTTCTGGGGCGTTTCACTAGCAAGGACCAAAGGAGATTATTCATCAGCCGAATTTATTCATTTTTTAAAACTTTACTCGCAATGATTTTTAACCAGACTAATTGTCACATTGAATGCCGACCAAAATTGAAACAAACAAATCCTGAATATTACGTCAAAAAGCATATATAGTTAACAGCCACAATAGTATATCAGTGTGTTAACTAAATAAGAGGATAACAACAGGGTTTATTTACTGATCATACAATAGCGGTTTCTTCAGGTAATGCAAATAACATGAAATACGGATTTTCAAGAGAAAACGACAAAAGTATGAAAATTAGTGAGTGAGATAATGGACCATAACTAAGTTCGAAATAAAGAGTAATAATCCCAAACGTATATCCCAGAGGTTTCGAGCATTAGTGATGACATGATACTCGGTTTGTGTGAAAATTAGGTCATAATATCTATATTATTGAGCCAATATTCAAAAAGACTTATAGAGGAAACGGAAAAATCCGAAAAACGAGGTCCATGGTATGTACGACCACTTGTGATCTAATTACGCAAGGATGATATACGACTAAAAGGCTGATGGATCAAAATATTGTGATCGACATCTCCAAGTATACTTTAGTGGTATGTATAGGGTAGGCTACAATTATTATTAGTGGTATCCAATTTTCCGGGTTTTCAAAATAAAACATGAGACAATAAAGATATTTGGAAATATATATTCATTAGAAACAACAAACGGTTGGAGTAGTTTACGATTATAGGTAGAATGAAAAACAAATAAACACTTACAGAAATAAGGAACTTTCCAGCTGATGTTTTTGTACTAGATCTGAGGGTGGAGTAAAGAACAGAGAAAATGAGCACTATTATACCGATAGCGATATGTCTATCGAACTTCAAAACAACTGCATCATCCTGTGTATTTGTACTGTTTGTGATAGTTAAAGATGGGTTGCATACTGGATCGTGACCATTTGTTAAACCAGACCATGTCAGGAAAGTTACATAAGCAGTAATGATCGAGGACTGAAAAAAAATTATGCTGTTAAGTTACATTAAAACGATATATCATTTATAATAAGAATAATTTTTATTTGCATAATAAAATATTAGGTAAAAGAACTAAGTATTTTGAAGTGTTCAACTGATTACGACAACTAATGAATAAAACATCTATTTATTTGTTTAGACAAACACTGGTACAAGGAGGTGCCAAAACTGTATTTGCGCAACACAAGTTACTTGATTTTTATGTGGGCTGTGATACTGCCCGGGTGCCCAGACCGAAAATATAATTGAGGAAAATGTGATATTTTTATGAACATTTATAACTGTGAACAAACATTAAAAACGCTAATGTATAGATCAAAACATATATAAATGTACAATACCTATCAATTATATTTCCATCAGATTTTGCTCATATATATATATATATATATATATATATATATATATATATACGGCCGAAAATGGATTCACCTCTCCCTCTCGAAATGCTCTCACATGGCCACGCGTATACAGTCACTACCAGGGATTTATTTATTTATTTGAGCACATAGGTATTGGTACAAAGATGCACCAAATAGATATGCGCCATACAAATCATCCGATTTGTGTAAGGGCTAGGATACTGCACGGGTACCCAAATCGAAGCAGGTGGTTTTCTTAGGAAGCAACTCCCCAAGCCTCTAACCTAAAGGTCCAATCTACAGGGCAGTGGAGAAACCTGAGGAGATGCAGTCCGATGGTAGCCGGTGATCAACAATTGGTTCATACGTCGTTTGTTCACTGAGGATCCTGGAGCCCATGTACACCATTGGTTTGGAACCAGGGTTTTCCAACTCCTCTGGATGGACCATCCGTGTCCACTGACCCGGTTATAGAGCCGGACATTCGCTTTTCGTCCTCAATCTCATAACCACCTCCGCCGAGAGAAGGCAGTGAGTAAAACTTCCCCGTCAGTGGTTGGATGGACGTGGCCATGTGAGAGATGACTCCCCCACTCTCGGTCGTACCAGGGCATTTGGGGTGGATATGGAGGATCCACCTAGAGGAGTTGGAAAACCCTGGTACCAAACCATTGTTGCACATGGGCTCCAGGATCCTCAGTGAACAAACGACGTATGAACCAATTGTTGGTCACCGGCTACCATCGGACTGCATCTCCTCAGGTTTCCCCACCGCCCTGTAGATTGGACCTTTAGGTTAGAGGCTTGGGGAGTTGCTTCCTAAGAAAACCACCTGCTTCGATTTGGGTACCCGTGCAGTATCCTAGCCCTCACACAAAAAGAATGATTTGGGTAGTGCAAATATAGTTTTGGCACATCCTTGTACCAATATTTGTTTCAATAATCATAAAGCCCTGCTATAAATGTCCTAGCCTGTGAATTGAAACCTAAAAACATGAAGTTCATATAATGGTGGAACCATCGACCGATTTAAAGAGATCCGACTCAAAGTCGTCAACAAGAACCGCAAGTTGTTCTTTGAGGCTCTACAACCGCATCGATTAAGGTAATTGAACTAAGTATCGCATATGTTCAGCCCTTTCTTCAGAGTACTATATTACTCGGAACTAACGGATGGGAGAATGTAAGGTCTATATGACAAAAACAAGGCATCATGAAGACGTTGACTACCGACCTGAGTTGAAGTCTTGTTGGCTTTTCGTGTGCGTTTCTGAAGATAGAAGCCACGTACGATAATAGTTCAAAAACAGTCTCCGTATAAACATGCTTTGGTGTTTTGTCCTAGAATTATTTTGCCCCAAATTACTGCCATTCGTCTATCTTTACTTTATGACTCGTCTCCGTATTTAGCCAACACATTTCTCTATAGTACATTCGACGAAGATTAATAATTGCTAAACCAACAAGATAGGACAAAACGAATATTCTAGGTTTTAAATTGGACAAGAGCCGAACATATATTGATAGATCATGATGATTTACAACACCGATAAAGTTCACTCACGGAACCCACACACTTACATAAAGGGTCAACAGTTAATAACATCAGACTAATTTAGTGTCTTGATTTAACTATGATGAGATCTCCCCCACATCGCTTCACACAACACTGTAGATTACAAGCGAAGCCAAAAATACTATCATATGAAAAGTTAGTTGCTTGCCCGTGTTATATTATTTCATCTACGCCTTCTATATTTAATTGTTCAGATAGCTGGATTTATTACTTTCACGCTTTATCCTTATATTCTCAAGTTCTCTTAACTATCCTAATAGAAAGTGTAACGATTCAGAAAAGTAGATGTTTTAGGTTTAATGTCGCTTGTGTATCCTTATTTACGAAAAAGTTTATGTCCATAGTCATTAACTCCGAGTAAGCTAGTAGTTCTTTCTAAACAAAAACATTATAGGTCACAAGGATGCTTAGTCATCCGATCTTCCATGATGAGAACTACGCCATGACTACAGAGTAAACAAGTACTTTAATTGTTGTAGAAATTATTAAGTATAATAGTAATCTCATAGTTCAATATTCATCTCACCTGTAACAAACCAGACTGTGGCATATATTCTTGCACCTTCGGCAAAATTGAAATAACTGATGCAATGAAGCAGAAAATAAGATTAAGACTGATTAAAGCCTTATTTAGTCCACATTGTGAAGCACTTGCGTAAAATATAAACAGGAGTATAATCCCAGCGATCGACAATGAATTAAAGAGAAAAGTGAAAAAGATCAGACCTAATGCATAACACTTTTCTCCACTTTCTTCATACTGCGTTAGCCAGTTCTCGTTCCATGAGTGAGCAAAATCCACAAGAAGAATTAACTGTATGATTATGTACAAACTCCCACCAATCATTCCGACGTACATCCATAAATTTGTAAAACCTTCAACGGGTATGAAGAATGCACCAATCAATAAACCAAACCAACAAAGATACTTAAAGAACCAAAACCCATTTTGTAATTTCGCTCTCCAGTCCATGGATGAGTGGACCCGAATCATAATTACACAGAACACAAGATAAAACATAGTTGATGCGAAACAAATACGGTAAACAGCCCCAAAACCAGTAATAGCATCACAATCTAGAGCGGCTTTTTCCTCCTTCGTAAATGGAGACAGCTTAAAAGGTGTACAAAGTGCAGGGATTTTGGTTAGACCGTCTCTAACGTCAGGAATTAGAGCGATTACTGAAAGAAGGACTGTAACAATAAGTATAATACTAAACATCATTCGCGAAGACGTCGAAGACTTGCAACTAGGTAGGCAAGCACAGCACAAGCTAGCAGCAGAACTGCAAAAACAACAAGCAACTGAACTTACAATACAACCCATCACAAGGAATGCAGAGAAAAAATAACTTTAGGACAAAAATGATATGTTCACCAAATGGCCAACTCAAAAGGTTGGTCGAGGGAAGTAAGGTCAATGCCGAAGCTTCAACGTCCAACGGAACTTTTGAAAGAAAGTTTTGGCTAAATAATATATAACTGACATCTCCAAATAAAACCTAAATATTCACGTGGCCGAAATTGTTATGCTGCTTGAGCTCTTAGCTTTTGGACAAAATTGACTAATTCGGAGTAAGTTTCAGAATGATGTCAATGAAATGAGGTTGAGTTTTGCTAATACGTATACAGACACCCTAAAATTAACTCAAAATTTACCCAGATCTGTTAGAATTTTTCTGGAATTTGCCTCAAATTCATCAAAGTCTGGAATTTTGAAGCAGTTTGAAGAAGTGCAGTGAGTTACCAATGGAAAACCCAAAAGTCTTAGTTAGATTTGGGGCTTCTCCTAGATTTCTACTAAAATTTTTGTGACTCCCAAATCTGAAGTCAAGGCTTCAGAGCAGTGACCTGATTATCGTTTGTGAAATCAGATGATGGACCAATTCAATGATTTCTTCTTAAAGATACCATATATGTTCGGAGTTTAGCAATGGCTTTACACGTAACCGTTACATTACCAAAGTATACCAGACTAGTCAAATCAGGAGTCAGAAACGAACTGGTTCGAAGGTATATTAGGAAGCCCATTGGTACGTTGTGAAGCAGTTAGTCTAAGCTGGCAACTAGTTATAAGAAATGCGTTTCACGGCGTACCCACTCGTGATCTGGTGCGGATGCGTGATTGAGCGTTTTCAGCTAAGGTTGTCTAGTATAAATAATAGGGTCATTATCGATATCAAAGACTTGCAGAACTATTTGTTTTTGCAGTTTATTTACTGCTGCATTCTTTCAATATCTACAGTATATCACGCCATTAAGTGCTAAGTATCTGAACAGGAATTCAGTTTCCTAATATCTTCCTTGTCGAAGATTGGGTTGTTTCTACCTACTGCAACGAAAACTAACTTTTACTTACAACACACTTGTCACGTAAAAGTGTCCTCGAAACATTGTTTCGTCGAACAAACTGACATTACCAAATTGATAAAACTAACAGTATTGGTGCCTCTTTTAAATACTTTCCACATCTAGCATTCTAATCATTGGTCACAATAAGGACACCGGAGATTTTTTCAGAAGGATTGTTTAGTAAAATATAAAAATAATCTATACAATAAAGAATTTCTTCTGCATATTTACAGGTAATGATTCGTAAACAATGCTTATTTACAATTTGTTTAATTCTCTGGTCCCCATGGAATTCTGGAACAAAATGTAAAATCACATTGAGGATCAACACTATTGAAAATTCAACGTATACATGAAGTGTATATTGTGTGCAATCATAGTATATGTCATATATGAATAGTGTAGTGTTGACCCTCAAAAAATAAGTCCGTTTGCAGATTTAGTATTTAGCAAAGTAAAAATAACATGAGCTAACCTGACTTCGTCACATCAAATTGAAAATATTAACTAGTTGTCATGTCACCCAACGTTCCAGACGTATGCTTGAAAGTGGTGCAGCGATGAATAAGTCCCCAAAACAAGTAGTCCTGTTAATCTTCTGTATCGATGCTGATCCCAGTCGTTTTACTGGACAAACCTTAGATGAGGGCGTTCAATCATGCATCCGCAACAGATCACGAGTGGATACGTTGTGACACGCATCCTTTACAACAGCCATTCAGCTTAGACCATACACTGCTTGATACATCAATTGTAGAGCCCAATTTTGTGAGCTCGTGCGAAAATATCGGAAAACCCCATTCCGATAACTAGTTCTTCACATTTTTGTAGTATGTACTCTTTGTTGGATTGTTTTTTTTGCACATTGATTCCCTTTTTTGATTGAAGCTGTTGTTACCACATTCTTTACAATTTCTGAATCTTAAATATTTCCTTGATACTAATGAGCTTTGTAATAACCGTTTTGTTTTCGTTTCGCTTAACAATGCTTACATGGTGCTTGCTGTATTGGACTGCCATACTTTGATTGACACTTTCTGTGCTGGTTGCTTTGCTCCATGTAGTCGATTTTGAAGCACGTTTCTTGTTTTCTAAGGACGTTCGACATTATTCACTAGTGATTATTTGTATTTTTATGTAACTACAGTTTTTTGATTGATCGCTTGTTTTCGGAGTTGAATTTACGTAATCTTATTCTTTGAATAGGATGTTCTTCCTTGACTGATAATAATATTTCTCTTACTGTGACAATTAAGTTTTATCGAGTGTCTGAACTTTTTTAGAAAAGGTACAGCTCATGTACATTATTTTGATTTATGCTTACATCCTTTCTTGAAGAGTCTCTTCTGTGTTTATTCTAAGCTATTCTGACCGTTAGTTAAGGTATTATGAGGAAGTTTCCGACTATTACCTTCTTTTGAATTTTCAAACTCAGGAGAGTGTACCCGTTATTACATCTGAAATAACACTCGGCCTCCTCCCTTACACTAATAGAGCGTTTATTTCCCCTAGACGGATATTTATACTAGATGCTCAGTCAGTGTTTATTCCACAGGACCTCAACACAACTTGGATCGAGAACACCCTACTGCCCTGACTAGAATGTGAGTAAATTTCCACACCGACAACCATAAATAACAGCAATAACAAGGATGGAAAAATGCATAACTCATTTAATACCTGTCAAACAATGTATCATTCTGGTTTGAAAAACACCAAATAATTATTTCCCCGTCCACGCACCACTTCTCTTTGGAAGTTTGTACGTATGACCTACACCTGGGCCCGGTCGAATAATTTCGTTTGCTTCCATCTCTTTGATGACTCTTGGACAATATTGATAATTTATTCTCAAATAACAGTCCGTTACATGATGCTTGACAATTTACAGGCAAGTTACGGGATATTCATCAATTTCAATTCATTCCTCTTGATTTCTACTTGTGATGATGGGATATCAAATGTGTCACATAATGGTTCCATTGGCATGGTTAAGCCTCCAAAGACTCACTTCTATTTTTTATTTTGTTACTTTATTTATGTATCTAGTAATTGGTGTATTTTCAACTATCACTACATGCAACACCTCATCACGTCTTTTTATCAACCTAAATATCCATTTTGGCCTTCATGTTTGAAAATCGCGTACATAAACTAAGTTGCCTGCTCTAAATTGTCAAATTTTCGGACGAGTCCCCTTCTTATTATTGTTTTGTAGTCCATTCATTTTGCCTTTCAGGTTCAGAGCACGGATAAACGTCCTAATCGGTCATCCAAAAATTATTTCTGCTGTTCCGTCTTGAGGGTTTGGGTGAGGTGTAATTCTGTATGATACTAAAAGCTGTTCCAGAGCTGCATGTGTGCTATCTTCTCCTCTCATCTTTAAGATAGCTTGCTTAAAGACAACAATTTGTTCTGCTTGCCTTTTTGACCGTGGATGGTACAGTGAGGTTCTAATACGTTTGATTCCACTTTGTTTACAGAGCTTCTCAATATCTGACGACGTAAGTTGCGTCTCATTATCCACAATCAAAACATCAGGTGTTACAAACCTACCAACTTGTTGTCAGAGATGTAACAGTTTTTCAGATGTAGACGGATTTCGTACAACGCAGACCTCAGGACATCTAGAAAATGAATCTGTTACCAACAAAAATATTATCCGTTTCTTTGTTCTGCATACTCGCTGAGTATTTGAAAACCGAGCTTGTTCGTTTCTGGCCATGTCTGTAGCACTACTTTCAGTGGATTTTGTGAACCTTCGACACATCGACAACATCTTAATTCGTGTTCTTTCACAGCCTTATCCTTCAGTGGCCAATAAATATAGCTACTCTTAAGTGCTCTTAAGTGCCTGTCGACGCGTTCGACTACTTCACTCCCTATCCTTAGTTCAGGTGTTGATGTAGACCAGTCCTGAAGCAACTCGTTGGAGAAACAGTCAGATACCGTCGCGCTCAGACTGTGTGTTTACAAAGGGAGAATTTCTAGTTGACAACCTCTCGATTCCGGCTTCCCTGGGGAAAAACGATCACGCCGTTATAGCCTTCAGTTTTGTCAACAAAAGTGAGCTAAGATATCCCAACAACAACAACAGGCGCTGGAATTTCAAGCGGTTGAATGTGTCAGCTCTACAGGACTATCTACAACAGGTGGATTGGGATGTTCACCCTCAACTTGATGTGGATGCTCATTGGGACTCTTAACTGCACACGCACTTATGTGCTACAAAGCAGTCAGTTCCTCAAACGGTCCTCAAAAGCGAAAAGCAACCTACAATCATGAAGGACCGCATTCTTCGTTTGTTAAACCGTAAAAGGCACTAATGAATAGAATATAAACGAACTGACAACAACAGCGCGTACAGACAATGCAAACATATAAAGAAAAAATGCACGAAGGCTATAAGAGAAGACAGGCTTCAGTACCAGAAAAAGCTAATGGATAAATTTGTCTCCAATCCGAAAAGCCTATATCCTTATGGAGCCTCTCTTCGTCAAGCCAAAACTGGAGTTTCCCAACATCTAGTTCCTAACGGCTCGACCGATAACGACGGCAACGCCGCTAACTTTTTGGGTGAGCAATAGTCCCGGACATTTCAACCAACCCTCATCAACTATACGGCTGACAGTTTCATCTGCAATTGCACAGGACCTTCCGTAGTGAACTTGGACTCTGACTTGGTGTTCCGAAAACTTCAGCACCTAAGAACAGACACTTCTCCTGGTCCAGATATTGTCCATTCTGCTATACTGAGGGAAGCAGCTTCAATCCTGGCAACACCGCTTAGCGTGATGTTCTCACGCTCGCTAAGTCGAGGCAAACTACCAGAAAATTGGAAGCTGGCCCACATCACACCAATTTTCAAAGGAGTCGACGCAGCGAAGCTTCAAGTTACCCACCGGTGGCTCTTCCCTCCATACCTTCAAAAATCATGGAGCCCCTGATATACGATGGCATACATGACTTTTTACT